AAATACATTATCACATCAGACTAATTAAAACGGCAGATGATGCAAAAATATAAAGGAACATAGAATTTGAGTATTTTTATATTGAAGGGAATTGTATATCGTAATGTGAAAGCAATAACGTTTATTAGAGATCATACAAGCTGGACTTACAATAGTATTTAGGTATTTTGTTGTGATTAAATTAAAAGAAAAAGAAAAGGACAGCCCGGTGCACGAAACATCTTGCATTCATGCAGGGTTCGGGGAAAGGCCGTATCCGAGAGGGTGTGATGTAAGCAGTCTACCCTGATGCAAGCATCAATGGCTGACTTCACGGCTCAAACCCGTGACCTTAGGTCACATGGAGACAACTTTAACGTTGCTCCAGGGCTCCCCTTCAAATGATTAAATTAAAAGGTCTTTCAAAAAACAAAATTTAAGAAGTCAGCCAGTGGTAATAAAAAGAAAAGAGTTTCATCATCGTTAAGTTCTGAACTTACAAAATCAAACTAAAAAGAAAAAAAAAACAAATAGACTTGTTAACATGATCGATCACAAATAAACAAATTAAAAATAATCTGACATTCTTGCTTTGCTGCCTTTTTGGTGAGGACATGGAAAAATATAGAAGTAGTAAAAGAGTTCAATATATCGCTGAAAGATACAGAATTATCAAATAGAATAAAAAATCAATGGTCACATTGGGGCGACATCTGGGGGGGGAGGGGGGGGGGGTTATGACGGTGTGCATGGCGCCTTTGGCTTTGGTGTTAGGAATGGAGCAGGTACTTCGTTGTTGGACTGTGCTAAAGCCTTTGATTTGGTGATTGCCAACTCGTGTTTTCCGAAAAGGGAGGAGCACTTGGTTACATTCTAGAGTTCGTTGGCCAAGACTCAAATTGATTATCTACTCCTCCGGAAGTGCGATAGGAGTCTGTGCATGGATTGCAAGGTTACACCAAGCGAGAATCTCACGACTCAGCATAGATTATTGGTGATGGACTTAGAGATCGTGAGGAAGAGGAGGAAGAGGGCTGTGTATGGTCAACCTAGGATCAGGAGTTAGGGGGAAGTTGTTGGCTATGGGAGCCTGGAGGAGCAGTGGGGACGCGAGCTGTATGTGGACCTATGTTGCGCGGACTCTCCAAAATGACGCCGCACCCGTGTCGGATCCTCCAAAAAATGCACTATTTTTGGAGGATCCAACACACCCGGTAATATTTTTGGAGAGTTTGAGCAACATAGATGTGGACCACGACAGCGGAGTGTATTAGAGTAGCTGCGAGAGAAGGGTTAGGGGTCTCGAAGGGTTTCTCTGGCGGCCACAAAGGTGACTGGTGGTGGAGTGAGGAGGTATAAGAGAAAGTGGAAGCCAAGCAAGCGGTGCACTTGACGCTTATAGAGAGCATGGACGAGGAGGCGAAATGAACAAGGAGAGGTATATGAGGGCTAAGAAGGAGGCGAAGTTAGCGGTTACTGCGGCTAAGACTGCGGCATTTGGGCGTTTGTATGAAGAGCTTGGGGCCGAAGGCGAGGACAAGAAGCTATACAGGCTAGCCAAGGTGAGAGAGAGGAAGGCCCGTGATGTGGATCAAGTTAAGTGTATCAAAGACGAGGAAGGTAGAGTTTTGATGGAAGAGGCTTAGATTAGACGAAGATAGAAGACATATTTCCATAAACTCATGAACGAAGAGGGTGATAGGGACATTGTGTGGGTGACTTGGAGCACTCCGAGATGCACCGGGATTTCGGGTACTGTAGGTGCATAAGAGTAGAGGAGGTCGAGGGGGCTATGCGTGAGATGCACAAGGGTAGAGCTACCGGGCCAGATGAAATACCTGTGGAATTCTGGAAGAATGCAGGTAGGGCAAGTTTGGAGTGGCTCACTAGGTTGTTCAATGTCATTTTTAGGACGAAGAAGATGTCCGATGAATGGAGGTGGAGTACGATGATTCCTCTGTATAAAAAGAAGGGCAATATCCAAAGTTGCAATAATTATAGGGGGATTAAGCTGTTAAGTCATACTATGAAAGTTTTGGAGAGGGTGGTTGAAGTGAGGGTGAGGACCAGTGTGTCCATTTCTGAGAACCAGTTCGGTTTCATGCCTGGGCATTCGACTATGAAAGTCATTCACGTTGCGAGGAGATTGGTGGAGCGGTATAGGGAGATGAAGGACTTGCACATGGTATTCATTGACCTAGAGAAAACATATGACAAAGTCCTGAGAGGGGTGCTTTGGCGATGCTTGGAGGCTAAAGGGGTCCTAGTAGCCTACATTAGGGTGATTAAGGACATGTATGATGAAGCTAAGACTAGGGTTGGGGCAGCGGGAGGAGACTCGGACCACTTTCCGGTTATGATAGGGTTGCACCAGGGATCAACTCTTAGTCCATTCCTATTTTTCTTGGCGATGCGCGTGTTGACGAGACACATTCAAGGTGAGGTGCCATGGTGTATGTTATTTGCGGATGACATAATTTTAATTGACGAGACGAGGGGTGGTGTTAATGAGAGGCCGGAGGTTTGGAGGCAGACCCTAGAGTCTAAGGGTTTCAAGTTGAGCAGGATCAAGACGAAATACATCGAGTGCAAGTTCAGCAATGGTACCCAGGAAGCGAATATGGAGGTGAGACTTGATACGCAAGTCATCCCCAAGAGAGGTAATTTCAAGTATCTTGAATCTATAATACAAGGTAACGGGGAGATTGATGAAGATGTCACGCATCGTATCGGAGCAGGATGGATGAATTGTAGACTCGCTTCCGGTGTCTTGTGTGATAAGAATGTGCTGCTTAGACTTAAAGGTAAGTTCGACATGGTTGTAGGCAGGTCAAGAACTCTCATACCCAGAAGCTAAACATAGCTGAGATGAGGATGTTGAGGTGGATGTGTGGGCATACCCGGTTGGATAAGATTAGGAATGAAGTTATTCGACAAAAGGTGGGAGTGGCCCCTGTGGAAGATAAGATGCGGAAGACGAGGTTGAGATGGTTCGGGCATGTTAAGAGGAAAAGTATAGAAGCCCCAGTTAGAAGGTGCGAGCGGTTAGCCTCGGTGGGCAACAAGAGGGGTAGAGGTAGGCCTAAGAAGTCTTGGGGATAGGTTATTAGGCGGGACATGGCGCAACTGGAGCTGACTGAGGACATGGCCCTAGACAAGAGGGTGTGGACGTCAAAGATTAGGGTAGAAGGTTCGTAGGTAATCGAGCATTTCTTTTGTCTCACTCAGTTCGCTAGCATTAGTGTTAGTATGATATCTTTTATTCATAGATGACTATTATTACCTAGAGTTTGACTGCATTCTTGGATTCGATCTTATTTCATCTTGCTGTTATTCCTACTTGTTGCAATTACCTTTTCTTTTTCCGTCGTTTCTAGTCGAGGGTCCATCGGAAACAGCCTCCCTGTCCTTCCAGGGTAAGGGTAAGGCTGCATATATCTTACCTTCCCCATACACCACTTGTGGGAAACTACTGGGTTTGTTGTTGTTATTGGTACATTAAAAGAACAAGAGATTGGGGCGTTTACTTCCAGAGTTTCACTGCTCCACTATTAGAGTTGACAAGAACATCAAACATCTTTTCCTTTCTTAGGGAAAAGAATAAATACCATTTATCGTCATGTGATGGTTTTTAGAATATGGCCGAGTATTATAAAAGATATGAATACATATCTCTAATGATACATATGATTATTGCAGAAGGAATGAAATCATAAAATCAGTTTTGGCAGGTTACAGTGATTTTGACCTAGCCATTACCTGCTATGTATTCTGTTTGGCTCTTTTGTGATGTCAGGGTCTATTTTCAAGTATAGCTGTAAGGTGCCAGTATAAAGGGTGAAATCTACCAATTGCAGTCAAAATTTAACTATGGTTAATATTTTTTTGACTTTTTCTACCTAATTAACTATGGTTAATATTCTTTTGAATATTACTGGAAATTTAGTAGCTGGGGCTAATTACAGAACTCTTTAGTTATTTTATTTAAGACATGAGAGGTATACTTTCAAGAATTTTTGAACTTCGCAAATTTCGTGTTTTCTGGTTGGAAGTCATGATTTAATGATTTCAGGTAACATGAGCCTTAATTAATCTGATCCTTTTACTAGTTTATTTCCTTTCAATTATGAAGAGTAGATTTCATGAGAGACCAGTGTGACGTCTACCCTCTTTTTATGGTTAGGTCAAAATGCTCTCACTGTATATTTCCATTAAATATGGATGGGTGGAAGTTCAGGTAGACCAGCTGATTAGGAAAAAGGTTAGGTCAAAACCAAAATGGTTATAGACAAGGTGCATTTGAAGGACTGTTGAGTATCATATAGAGAAAAGAGAAGTCTATCGTGCAACATCTGCAATGTACCTCCATAATAGGGTGCTGGATGATATTACTATCTGTACAAAAGGGAGCTCTAAGAGTTAGCTAGTGGACCGAGTCAGCTTTCTCAGTTTCTGTTTGTACTTCAATTTCTAATCGAATGTGGCTCTACACGACTTAGTTTGTTGCCACATCTCTTACATGAGTCAACTTTTGCATCAGTTTGTACAGAAATTTCCGTATCGACGGAATGTAGCTCTATGCACTACATGACAAACAGGCAAAGTACGCTTTGATCTCTTTTGTAATGGCATTAGTGTCTCGGTAATCTGCTCTCACCTCAGCTATTTGACATGATACGCAAGCTACGTTTTACCAGATAGAAAGCGATCACCTAACTTTATTGCTCTATTACATTCCACTGTAAGTCTCCAGATTCTTTATTCTAACTTTATCGACCGTTAGAACTAATCTTGGGAGAGAGTTCACCTTGATCATATTAGGGAGAAAACTGTGTTGCTTTTTTTTTTTTTTTTGATAAAGGCAAAATGTATATTGCTTCCGCTCATCATATTTATTTGGTGAAAAGTACATGGATTTTCTTGCTACATAATAGATTAACCGAGATATTGATTTGTGAATCTCAGCGGATAGACTTAAAATGTTGAAGCTCACATCTGATCTTGGTTTACATGCAGTGTAGTCAGGAGGAACTGCCAAAGAAGGTCGAAGCTTTTCTACACCAATTGCTTATGTAATGTCTTTGTTTCTGAACAATGTAGCTGGTGATGGGCCTGGAATAATTTGTATAAATCTCAGTAGTTCAGCTATGTTGAGAGGGAACCTGTTGAAACAAGGTTTTATCAGTTTGTGTTTCTGAATCCCAAGTTTAAAAGTAATTCCAAGTTTGAAGAACACGATGCGACTCTTATTACACATAATCCATGCTGTTAGCATACGAACATTATACTACACTCAATTGTCAACATCCTGATGCCATTTCCCACCAACTTTCTACTGCTAGAATGTGGCATCGACATAGAATCCCAACATAGCAACTTCTCAATCATTAACCCAATACTGAAAAGATGGACGCATCAGTCTTGTGGAGTTCGGAATTTCATTTACTACCCAAAGTCTCCCATGATTTAAGTTGTATCCTCTGTGACAGTTGAATGTAGCAGCAGACACTGGAAAATAAAAGATCAGGCCATGGGCAACAGAAGAGCCAAACTGGTGCAAACGTATAGCCGTTATCATACATCCCTTGATTGTGAGTTTAACAATGTATAGCAAGGGAGATAACATTTCAGCTAGCAATAACTAACAAATTGAATTCAATAGAGAGCAAGTGTGATAGTGCAATGAGATGCCAATACAACCAGTGAAAACTAAATCAAAATAATAACGTGAATACCCAAATGAACTAGCAGAATTCAAACTTCATTATGCATGGACAGGACATTGCATAGGCACGCACGCCATTACAGCATCAACAAAATCATTCAGAATTATACAAAGCACAAAACCTTAACATGTAAGATGCTACAGAAGTGGTATCGAGCGATCTATACAATGGATACCCCCAAACTTCCCAATCTCACCCAAACTAAGTCTTACAAGCACAACAAAACATTGGGTAAACAGATATACTAAGATAATCATTCCAAGTCTCATTCGGATTTACTTGAACTGGAATTAGGAGCATCGTCTTTCTCATCCGCAGCAGACTCAACCTGTTTATATGCCTTTGAGATTTCTTCAACTGGTATCAAAGGAATGTAGCTGACAACAATATAACCTTTCTTCTTCAAGTCAGCGACTAGTTGATTATACTTCTCTGACCAGTGAGCAGCAGTAGGAGCGGCCATCTGTGCAATTCCATGCAACGGTGCACAATGATTTATATGATACCAGACTACTGCCACTTGACTAGTAGCCAATTGCTTGGACAATGCACCAGCATGATTAATAGCTGCACGAGGACCTGCAACTTGTACTTCTTTGAACAAGTCTTGTGCTACTTCTGATGCCTTCTGAAACACGGAATGGGCTTTGCTGACAACCTTCTTGGCCAAGGGAGGAGCATGCTCATCAAATTTTGCTGCTCCATCGTCAACCTAACAGCCAGAGATGTTCGTTGTGTTAACAACAATAATGAGGAAGTCAAACCACAAATGCTCATTTCATTTTCTTTTCACAAGACTCCCTAATATCTTTATCAGAATTTGGGAGCAATGAAATTGCCGTTAGAATTTAGAAACGATGCAGATTGCAGGAAACTAACTTCATGTGAGACAGCCAGATGTAAAAATTTAACTTGCAGTCCGAATAGCTCATAATAATCACATGGCTGAAGTAAAAATTGCCAACCACCATATTTAGCAGTATTAAGGTAAGTGTTCCAGAAGAAAACAACGGCTCCTACATGTACAACTCCTTCTAATTCAATTACACCAGCAAGTCCTATCAGGTTCTTATCCCATACTCTTAATAGCTAACCTTAAGTTAATCAACTACTTTTGAATGTATTGTTCCAACTTTACAGAGATGTCCTCAAAGGGGGAACTATTAACATAATAATAAGCGCCAAAATACTAGTGACATATAAGAAAGGAAACTGTTAAAAACTTATTCCAACCATAGCAGTCACGGTAACACTTGATTGGACAACCTAAATTTTCTCCTTGATAAGAAAAGAGGGTGCGAAAACTACTAGCACAAGCTACAAATACATGATCATTTCTCACAAATAACATAGCCCAAGGGTTATTAACTAATTATCAATCAAATTGATAAGCAGTTGTATAAAAAAGACACTGTCATGGCACACTCTTCACTCAAAAAATAGTTGTATAAAAAGGCAGTTCATCCATCATCACAGAAAAAGGTATGTAAATCATCTTCACAGAAAAACAAACAAAAGCACGCACACATCGACACACATATATTTACAAGGTCTATTTATTACAAAGGGTGAACATCTACATACCCTCTCTCCAAAACATTAACAGAGGTCCTCAACAAGACATCGAAAAGGGGGCAAAAAGTTCATTTACCTTTTAACAAAAGATATATCACGTATTATCATCAATTCATCACCACCGTTCACATAATAGACAGCAACATAATCAATGAAAACAACAATTTAACAGTACAAAAGAAAAGATTCAATACCTTCTGGTCTAGGAAAACAAGGACTTCATCAGGAACACCTTTAAGCCTCTCGTAAACAGGCCTTACCACGGTAGTTACCGCGTTCTCTACAGTACCCACAGTCGATCTCAGAGGCCCCGAGTTCTGCTTCGCGTATTCATACAGATTTGACACCAAAACCGCAGTGTTTATAGCCAACACCCTTACAAACCCTAGATGTTTCAAATTCCCCTCACTTTTCTCCATCTCAACCTACAGATCATAAATCACAATCATTAATTACTAATTAAACCCAAAAAATCACAAATTGATAGGATGAACATCATAATATGAAATTAACCTTAAAGTTGATTAGATCGAGATATTAAACAAACCTTGTTGGTAGCCATATTTTTGCGTTCTCGATCAGCTTGTCAGGAACTTTGATCTGCTTCAGCTATTGATGTTGCAAAATGAGAAGGTTGTTGGGTAATATAAAGGAAGATGCGGGAATATATAGCTTATAATCTAAGGGCTGTGAAAGAGTCACGTGTCGTAGGGTATGGGGTCACGAGAGATTCCTTAGTCGAGAATCAACGAAGCGTTTGTGGAAATGCGTATTTCTAGCTAGGGGTGGAAGCTTCGCGAAGGACACGTGGCATTCTGTTTGAGGGCAGTGCGAAATATCTCGATGCACACTCTTCTCTTACCGTCTATTTAGTTTTTTTTCCTTTTTTTGGTTCTCACCGAGTGAGCATACCCAATTTGAGGCCGATTCACCGAAAAACTCGTGTGTATACGGTCGAAATCAGGTGTGCCCGATTTTGTTGGCTCGAGAGGTCGCTTCGAAAATAAGTTCAAAATAGATCGGACTCGAGCCCGATGACAAAGTACAAAACTCGAAGATCGAGGTGCTCGATGAACACCGAGGATAAATATGACCAACCTCGAGATAATACCGTTGTGGTTTCATAACAGAAAGAGCGAGATTCCCGCAGTTGCCCTAAGATCACGGCGTAAATTCCGGAACGGATTTGTACTAGGCGGTTAGACAGCTGTATAATAAGATCCCCTACTATAATTAAAAGTGTACCTTATTTAGGATTCCCCTACTATATAAAGGGGATCTCAATCATTTGTAACGCATGAATCATTGACAAGGGAATATACATACTTCACTTTCTTGCTTACTGTTCATCAGAATTGTCTTATTATTTATTGTTCTTACTGACTCACCTCGAGGCCGCCTTAGCTCGAGGTCGAGGCTTGTTAGCACACTGGTTTGACTTACTCTACTCTTTAATTTATACATTTGTTTCCTTGTTTATCAGTTAGTATTGGATTAAATCACATATCTTTCGGATTTTAGAGTAAACAGTTTGGCGCCCACCGGGGGGCTAAAGATAATAGTGATTGTTTCATTATTGATTCTGATAGGCGAAATACATAAACGGCCCCTTTAAGTTGTCTTCAACGATCAGCTGAACACCTCAATTATGCTAATGACCAGACAGACACCTCTTCTAGACTAAAGTGTGACTCATAAACCCCTCACGATGACATGGCAAAGTGTGTGCTTTTTATTCACGTCTGGGCGCGTGAACCCTTCAAAATTAAGTTTTTTTCTTTTGTTTAAATTAACCTTATTTTATAATGACCCCACTTACCTTCATCTTTGTAAGGCCCTGTAAAAAAATTTGTGCTCAAAACCTAGTAGCTCGCAAGCTCGCCGCGGTTCGGACCCTGTACTGAGCTAAGCATTCAAAAATGAAAGAATCAAAGTTTTCCAGAAAAGTGCTATTTTGCGGTCCAGAATGCGGTCGCAAATCAAGTATGCGGACCGCATTTCTGCCGCAGATTGAGTCAGTGGTTTGGTTAAAATTGAGGTCAAAATGCTGTCCATTATGCGATCGCACAACTGATATGGGCACCGCATTTCTATCGCAAATGAGTCCATGCGCCAGTCAAAATTTGAGGTCAATTATGCGGTGCATTATGCGGACGCAGATCGTGTATGCGGACCGCATTTCCGCCGCAAACCCAGACAGTAGGATCAGAGTTTTGGAGCACTTTTGCAGTCCATTATGCGGACCGCATTTCCACTCTGCGATCGCAAAGTGCGACCGCAAACCTGACTCGGGCTCCTATTTTTTTCTAAATTTTAAACCCGACCCCCTTTTAATAAAATACCCCAATCCCTCATTTTAACATACTTTCTGAACAAAATAAGAGATAGGGAAGAGAGGGTTCTTGAGAGAGAAAGTTCATCTTCACTAATTTGATTTTTGAAAGTCACCCAGGCCCGGGAAATTTCAAGTAATTGTCTTCACTTCCGTTCTTGCAGGTAAAATCCCCAACCCTTTTTCATTGGTTTTCATATTTAAACAAAAAGGGGGATTCTCATGCATTGATTCTTTAAAACAAAGTTGAAATACACATGTGTCAACTAAGTTATATGTGTCAACTTGTGAACTAGATTGACGTTGCTAGACTGTTTGGTGAATTGAAAGTAGAAGTTAAAAAGGGAATTCGGCTCCAGGTATGTATGGCTAACTTTAACCTTTATAAAGTCACCATGTTTGGTGTACGAGTAATTGGTATGCGTTTCTTATGTGGACTATTTTTGAATTTCGTTTGCTTCACGGGTGTTAGGGCAAGATGGCCTATTTCATGAATTCTTGTGACTAAATTTCCTTGAACATTGTTGGTTAACATTCTGATATGACGATGTGAATAAATGGCAACAAACCAAGTGTGTGTGTGTGTGTGTGTGTGTGAATATGTTTATGTGGTAAGGGCTGTGAAATAAATGATGAAAAGAAGTTATAATTGATGCAATTGAAACAACTGTGGTAACATCATGTGTGGCTTGTCGTGGGCAATTATCTTGTGACTTAAATTGTTATTGTTGCTGTGAAATGATATTCGGGATGGCCTGAAGCCATGTGATTGAACTGTGAACTATTGTTGTTGTGTTAAATGTGAATGCCCGGTGGGATCGGGTTGCGCGCCGCAACACGAAGTTATAAGGTGTGGGTTGTGATGATAAGGGTGGCCGAGGTAATAAGGGTGGAAAAGTGATCGAAATCACTATTGAAACGAAAATGTGTGAAAGTTGTAGAATCATTGATGTGATGAGATAATGTTAAAAAGGGGAAAAAGGAGAGACTGTGAAACTTGTTTGGCTTTGGTTGTTCCTTTCATCTGCATTTGATTCGTTGATTCTATTACTGTTCGTTACTTGTGTATTGCTTGATTTTACTTGGGGTAAAGTTTGTTCATACATACCAGTACAATTCAAATGTACTGACGTCCCTTTTGCCGGGGGATCTACATTCGTGTTATAATTGTAGGTGGATCTATAGCAGGTACTCCAGTCCACCGACCGTAGCACTCCTTCACTTCCCGTCAGCTGAATTGGTGAGCCCCTTTTCTCCAGGGGCCCTGCGTGGCTCATGCCGCTTTTATTTTGGAGTCTCGTTTTGGGTATTTGTGTAAGGTATAGCCGGAGCCTTGTTGCCGGCAAGTATTGTATCATCCTTTTGCATCCTTAGAGGTTCCGTAGACAGGAAATGTGGGTTGTGGACTTATATAATATGTACTTTGTATGCTGGGCGATGTAAGTTGTAAACCACGCTAAGTAACCATGTTTGTTATGTATATTTCGTAAAAAGGTGTTTTAATTATAAATGGCTATTTCCTTTGATTAATGAGTAATGAAAACACGGGGTAACACGTGGGATAGGAAAGGCACCCAGGTCCGCTTGACTGGGGCTACCCGGTCGAGCGCCGGTCATGTCCCTCAGTTTTTGGGGCGTGACAATCTTCATACTACTTCTTCTTCTTCTTCTTCTTCTTTTTCTTCAAGTTTTCACCATTGATGAAAAATAAGAACAATTAAAAAGTTTCTTCAAATTACAGCAAATGGGAAAAACATAAAATAAGCACACAATTTCTTCCACATATACTGTCACAATTGCTTATACAATCCATCACAAGCATTATTGTAATAATTAATTGGATAAATATAATTTCACATCATTAAGATAGAACTTAGATAAAATTTACAGCAGTACTCAACAGAGTAATTGAACCCTCTAAAAATTGGTGCTTTAACCAGAATTTTCTCCCAAAATCAATCACAAAAGAGAGCACATTTTTTGCAAAACGCTAATGATAAACTTTATGGCCGAACTCTACCACCACAAGCTCTGCTGGCGCCACCAACAGAGACATCATCTCTGGTGGTAAAGATGTTTGAGGCTCCTACACAACAAAGTTTAAGACCAAAATCCAATAATTTTTTGATGGGTCTTTACTGTTTGGGTTATTCAATAGAAGAACTTTTAAGAAAGAAATAGAGGAAGGTTGAAAGGTAGTAGCAGACAGCCAAAAACTTCTGATATAACCATTCTTCTTTAGATTTGGAGTGGAACAGCTCTGCCCATTATATTTTGGCTAAGAGATCCGAGTTTGGAGAAGAAGAAGAAGTATAGGAAGAAAAAGAATTGCAGCAACGTCTGGGGAAGCTTGAAAGAAGATGAAGAAGAAAGGGTAGGGGAAAGGTGATGATTTTCTACTTGAGGGTTCTATTTTTTTTGGGAAGATCACGGGGGAAAGGAGGCTAGGGGCGGAAGGAAGAAGAATAGGTTTGGGGTGGGGGGGGGGGACGGTCTAGTTGAAAATAAGGAAAAATGTCTTTTTTCTTGTTAATTACACGTGTCAAATATTTTAACGATAAATTACACGTGTCATTCTTAATTGGTTTATTTGACACATCATTGGCAAGTGTAACTCACGCACATGGTCTGCTCCACTCGAGTATTTACTTGATACACGTAATAGCCACTTGTAACTCACGATGACAGTCTTGGACTTCACGGGGAAAATGATAATGTAGTTGCTCCAGGAGTCGGTGTACCACCGACTAACCCTGGGAAAGTGCCGATTGCCAATCCAGTCGATGTTAGTTCACACATTGCTTTGAACGCGGACTTAGTCGCAGACCCCGGAGGAAGTGTACGCAGGAAAGTCCAATCTGGTGGCCAAGGAACACATGGTGTAGGAGACAGGGGAGTTAGTCTCCAGGTAATATTCGAGATGCTACAGGCTCAGCAGGTTGCTATCGTTTAGCTTCAAAGTCAACATAAAACTCCGAGTGTGGTCGAACCAGAAGTCACTCGCCGTAGTGAGCCGGTGCTAAAAAGGTCAAACGGTAATAGATTGGGGACTGATCCTGCAGTTATGAAGATGCTCGAGGAGCTCACCAAAAGAATCGAGTCGGGAGAGAAAAAAATCGAAGATAATGACAAGAAAGTGGAAACATACAACTCCCGTGTTGATCAAATACCGGGGGCACCCCCTATCTTAAAAGGTTTGGATGCAAAAAAGTTCGTGCAAAAGCTATTTCCTCAGAGTGCGGCTCCGAGACCCATTCCTAAGAAATTTCGTATGCCGGATATACATAAATACAACGGGACGAGCGATCCTAATAAACACATCATTTCGTACACATACGGGATTAAATGAAACGACTTAAATGATGATGAGATCGAATCGGTTTTGTGGAAAAGATTTGGGGAAACTTTGT